TCCTCTTTTGCTGTGGCTCAGCATTTAAATAACCTTTATCAGATTTGATGGTTTAGTCACAGACTTTCCCAAAAAGTGTTGTACTTTTCTTTCACAAATGTGGGAATGAAATTGCGTTAAAATGTACAAAACAGTAAAATTTATCTTGCCTGGCCGTGCAGCTCTCTGGGTGCTCAGCACCCCTAAACCTCTGATCCTAGAATCGCCCCTGATGCACATCAGTCAAAAAACAACATTTCAATCACATAGACTGTCCATCTGAAGGCACCACACTGAAACAGTGTACCTTTTATAATGCATCAAGTGAGGCTTTGTGTTGTCCAATCACATCACCCAGGTAATATTTCGTAGCGACATATGTCATAGCATTGTGAGTAAAACTGTAGTATGGAGTGAAATCTACAAGGTTATCAGCAGATATCAGTTCTGTTGCTTGTGCCGTGTTTGGAATCTCTATTTTATATGCCATAATCTCTATCATAGCAAATAGTATTGTGCTGCTGAAATTCAAAACAGAGCAATGAATTTATTACACAGATATTTCTCACAAGTCCAAATTCAGATAAATCATTAGAATTGACAGCACTTAGAATTAATGACTTCTCCCGCATGTATTTATTGCCATTTAGATTTATCCATTTAGCAGATATTGCATGGTTAACTTCATCATTTCCAAGGAAGGCCCTCATTTTTTCTTTTAAGTAAGGCATGTTGCTTATTTCTGATGTTGGTCCTAAAGTAAACTCATTTGAAAAAATGGGATGTTCAAAACTACTCACATTCTGACAACATTCATACATTTGATTATGCCTTATTAATGACTTGCAGACATTTTTAAAATTTATTTTTGAGGCCCATTGTTAAAAAGCAGTGTTTTGATTCAAATCTCATGCACATGTGACGGACCACTGGTCCCAGTAGTCTAATCTGGGATGGAGTATGAATCAAATAATGTTGTTTTGGTGTTAAATTGTTATCTGGGAAAACCTTCTTCACATGCTTTAAGTGCTGTTCAATAAGTGTTTTCAACTTGTTAACTGTTTGTAGACCAATAACAGGAGCAAACAAAATTTGAACAATCTCTATAAGTTCAAGAATTATTGCATAGTACTCTGTACCTTTAACTGTATCATTCAGAAATGGCAGAATCTTTAGTAGAACAATCATTTGTCCTGAGGACTGCTTTAACTTATTATCACTGGAAGCTAATGTACTGTAAGATACAGGGCTTGGTTTATCGCTAATATCAAGTAGAGAGTAGGGGAATCCAGTTAATGCAGTGTTGAAGACATCCAAGACAAGTCTAGTTGTCCCAAACGAATTAACTGTTTCGTCACACACTTTATTTCTAATGGAGCAATCCCTTCAAGAATTACATGCATCACATCTTGTGGTGTTTGTTTTATCAAGTTAAGGCTGGGAAATCTATCAGTTTGCTAGCCTGGTTCCAGACCATAGACCCCACCCACTCAACTGAGTAGGCTTGCATCTCTGGTCTG